ATCACTCGTTATCCGACTCCAGCGGCAGAAGACACAAACGCTCTGCGGTGTCGTTGGCCGGCGGGTCTACTGTATGCCTTCCCACCCGTCACACTGATTCAGCAGGTGGTTCGCAAGATGATAGCGGAGAGGGCGGAGATGTTACTGGTGGCTCCACATTGGCCCCGCAGGCCGTGGTTCGCGGATCTGGTGGAGTTTTCGGTGACGGACCCGTGGGTGATTCCTCCACATCGGATCGTGCTGTGTCAGGGGGCCATTCGTCATCCCGAGCCCCAGTGGCTGCAGTTGGCCGTCTGGCATTTGAGCGTGTCCTCTTGAAGAAAGGCCGTTTGCCAGATACGGTGATTGGTACGATTCAGTCGGCCCGTCGACCATCCACGACGAGGATTTACGAAGCCACGTGGAGGGCCTTTTGCCGTTGGTGTGCGACTACTCATGTGGATCCTACGTCTGCAACGGTCCAGGATGTCCTCATCTTTCTACAGGCGGGTTTGGAGCGGGGTTTGTCTCCCGCCACTCTCAGGCGCCAGGTGGCGGCCCTGGCCACTGTGTTGTCCTGTCCACCGTACACTTCCTTGGCTCATCATCCGTGGGTGAAGGGGTTCCTTCATGGAGCTACGAACCTGAGACCGCCTACGGTTCATCGTTACCCCTCTTGGGATTTATCTTTAGTTTTGCAGGCTCTCACTTTGTCTCCGTTTGAGCCGTTGGGTTCCACTTCACTTAAGTTTCTGTCGTTCAAAGTTGCATTTCTCCTGGCGATCACGTCGGCTAGACGCATTTCTGAGCTCGCTGCCTTATCCGTCAGGAAAGACTTGTGCATTTTTCATGCTAACACTGTGGTCCTGAGGATGGATCCTGCTTTTTTGCCCAAAGTTAATTCGTGGTTTCACCGGGCGCAGGAATTAGTGCTTCCGGATTTCTGCCCGTCGCCGAGACATCACCGGGAGGTTCTTTGGCACACTCTGGATGTGCGCAGGGCGTTGAGACGTTACATGCGTAGGACGGCCGAGTTTCGGAAGACGGAAGCCCTATTTGTTTCGTTTCATCCTGCATCCATGGGTCAGAAAGTGTCGTCGACCACGATTGGTCGTTGGATTAAGGCCTGTATTGCTGCCGCTTATGAGAATCAGCGTCGTCCTGTTCCTGGGAACATTCTGCCTCATTCTACGCGGAGTGCGGCTACTTCGGCAGCCTGGGCTACCCAGGCGTCTGTGTTGGACATCTGTAGGGCGGCTACTTGGACCTCTTTGTCACCTTTCATAAGACATTACCGGATTGATGCCTATGCTTCAGCTGAGGCGTCCTTTGGGAGACGAGTTTTGCAAGCAGTGGTGGCTGGGTCCGCTGAGTTGGGTAGTGTTTTGCCCGACCCTGGAAGTTAGGCTTGGGTATGTCCCAATGCTGGAGTGTAGTAGCAGCGTTCTGGAAAATGGACATTGACTTACCTGAATGTCCTTTTTCGGAACGCTGCGTATACACTCCATTTCCCTCCCTTTTCTTTGGTTGTTTGCATGTGGTGGTTTTGTATTAATAAAGTTTGTTGTAGTTCACCTGTGGTGTCTTCGTTCAAGACTGGGGATTCGGGTGCAAAAGGGGGCGTGGAGAGAGCACAGAGTGGAAGATAAGTGAAAAAAAGTTCTCTCAGTTGCTGTCAGATAAGAGGATTTTCCCAATGCTGGAGTGTATACGCAGCGTTCCGAAAAAGGACATTCAGGTAAGTCAATGTCCATTCTCTTACTTGCTTTCTAATATTTTCCTGAATTCTTTTTCTTGTAATTTGCTGTTATCTAAGCCTTTCCTTTGAAGCAATGATTTCATTGTATGTGAACTATCCTTCAAATAAATTATATATCTTTTTAACGGCCTCGTCTCCAAGTGTAACGGCAATTCTGTCAAGCTTTCCTAATACCAGTTGGCCAGAAAGTACACAGTCATCTTTGCCTCTATGCTGTGGGATATATTTTAATTTATCAGTCTTGTTCCTAAACTATAGTGTCCCCTGAAGTGAAAAGCAGAATAACACAATCTAACATTTCATGATTGAAATGCAGTCTTTTTTGTTGATGTAGCCTACAGTGTGCAGTTTTCTAAGGAAAGAGAGAACAGTTAAACTGGAATGTTCTTTTATTTTCCTCTTGTTTACATTAACATAAGTTGATCATTTGTAACAAAAGAACAAAGAAAAATAACAATACAACAAAGGGGAAAAACATAAAAAACACTCAAAGACATTACTCTGTCTTTCAAGTCATGAAAAGTTCAACAATTTTACATTCTAGAATTAAACAGGCTAATAGGGAGCATTACATGAGAATTGGACCCTTAGTTCAAAGGCTTGGGAGACTGGAGCCAGTCAGAATGGTTTCCGGTAAAACTGCATGATCTAGGAATTGACCCAAATGTATTTGGCTGTCCACAAAAGTTGCATTGAAGTGTTATGTTGTCTGTGCCAGGGCAATGTTTGAAAGGTGCTGCATCTTTCCACTCTGTCATTATTCATATGCATTTAGCATGTGTACACTGTCATAGCTCTCATCTAATACGTGTGCATTGGCAGTGCCCAGGTTAAGAAACAGTGGTGAAGCTGTTGAACTCTGATGAGCTCCAGTTTGCGTGATCAGTTTTCAGAATTTATAGGCCTTGAGCCTTTCCTTATACAGTGTCTCAGTGGGTGAGCCCTTTTTAGGAGTCCCCATTGGAATGATGATTTAAGCACCTTTTGAAGTCTGCTCTTGTGTTAATTTATCATTGCAAAGAGCTATTCATAATTCTCAGATATATACCGTCTATAGCAGCGGTCCCCAATCTTTTGGATTAGGATTTGCTGTCCAAATTGTCTGCCTCTTTAGATGGTCCTTACTTTACAACAGTAACTAGGATTGGGATTTATGCTGCTAAACTATATGTCAGGCTTGTCCCAGCTTGAGTATTTAGGAAAGAAAGATCCTCGACTCCATTTGTAACAAAAGGTATACTTTTACAAAAGCCAAGTGATTATGTTATAAGAAAAGCTGGATCTGAATATTCCTGCTCAAAACCTTCCTTTCCCCCATTTCCTGGGCCCTCCTCCATGTGACGTGTTCATGAGTGACCAATGACATTTGAATCTGGTGTTTTGGTAACCGCTTTAGGTTTAGTGCCTCTTTGGTGTACTTTTGCATTCTGTTCTCACGCTCATGTCCTTGGATGTGCTGGTCTATTCCGGATTGGCACCTCTGATTTCTGTCATCCTATCATCCCTTCCCCCCCCTGCATTCCATTCTCCCCCCTCCTGCATTTTATGGCAAGATGCCAGCAAAGCGAAGCAGGCTGATGCGTTTACGATGGCAGACCTGATACAATGCATTTGTAAAGTGTGACATCACTTTTCTTTTGTCATAATTAAATGAGGATCGTGGGTGAGTAAGTAAGGACCCCATGTGACCGTGATTTTCAACTTCCTGCCAGCTTCCAACAAGCAAAGTCAATGGGGAAACCAACAGGAAGTTGCAAATCACAGTCAGGACTGTTCTTTAGGTGGCTCTTTAGTATGCAGGTGAGTGGTATGGAATGTGCCCAGGTTGTTGTGGTTGCCATGTGAGTGTTGTTGTGATTGTTGTGGTTACCATATGAGTGTGGCTGAGGGAGGGAAGGGGTGCTGTGGCATGACAGTTCTTATACTCTCATAGCCTCATAGCCGTGGTGTTGCAATGGTTAGAATGCAATATTGCAGGCTAATTCTGCTGACTGCCAACAGTTCAGTTCTCACTGGCCGAAGGTTGACTTACATCCTTCTGAGGTTGGTAAAATGAAGACCCAGATTGTTGGGGCCAATATGCTGACTCTGTAAATCACTTGTTTACAGAGGGCTATAAAGCACTGTGAAGTAGTATATAATTCTAAATGCTATTGCTACTCTGTAGTGAGCTCCTTGGGACAAAAAAAAGTGGGAGTAAGTGGCTTACAACTTTTCCAATTGGCTTCCCATTCTATTTGCTTGTGGGAAATTGGTAGGGAAGGTCACAAGTGGCAATTATTCAACAATGGGATGCTGCAACTATTGTAACTGCGAGCTGGGTTCCAAGTTCCTAAATTACAATCACTGACCATGGGGGTGCTTGTAATGGCCAGAAAATTGAACGGTCACTTAACGGGTGATCAACTGTCTATGGAGATTCTCAGTCATTCAGGTCATGATTGTCCCCTTTTCAAGGGGCAACTGGACTTTCTTGTTTTTCTTTGAAGACGTTTCGCTTCTCATCCAAGAAGCTTCTTCAACTCTGACTGGATCCTTCCATCCCCCACCATCCAGTCAGAGCTGAAGAAGCTTCTTGGATGAGAAGTGAAACATCTTCAAAGAAAAATAAGAAAGTCCAATTTCTCCTTGAAAAAGCATCTTTCAGGTGAATGAGTGGTCATTAACTAAGGACTAACTGCATTAAATACTTCAAATAATCTTATTTTAATTCTGCCCTCTGATCATAGCTTCTTTGTGTAAGACAATCTGAGTTTGACTAAACTCCGAATACCCAATATTCTTCAAGGACATCTTCTTCTGCAGATGCAGGCTTGTTTCTTTTTAGCACATCCTCTGTTTTACTATACAGGTAGTCCTTCACTTATAACCATTTTAAGTGTTTAGTAACTGTTACAATGTATTTATGACAGTTGCACTATCCCAGGATCATGTGATCATCACTTGTAACCTTCCTAGCTGGCTTCCGATAAGCAAGGTCAATGGAGAAAGCCAGATCCGCTTAATAACAAAATAATTCACTTAACAACTACAGTGATTCATTTAATAATTGTGGCAAGAAAGGTTGTAAAATGGTCAAAAGTCAGTTAACTGTTTTGCTTAGCAACAGAAATTTTGGGTGCAGTTATGGTTTTAAGTTGAGGAATATCTATGTTAACTCTCCACTGAAATGGAGGAGGATAAGGTTTTGCTAGAAAAGGGAACACTTGTTGCTATTGGATCTCTTTGCAGTACACCTAACTTCCCTGTCAAGAAGCCTGAATAGGAAAACATCTGTCCTATTTATTGTTTGTTCAGAATTTGTGTCTTATCAATAAATATATTGTTCTGTTGCATCCTGGCTGTCTCAAACCCAGCTGCGATTTTCACTTGTATCCCATTTTTGCTTCTTACTTTTCTGTGGTTGATTGGAATGCTGCTTATTTCACTTTCATTCTACTTCTCAATACCTTTTTGCTTTTACTTTGAAGAGCTCTCAATTCAGCTGGAGTCATCTCCCTTAGGGCTTGGTTGATAGGCCTACTTTGTTTGATCAAATTTTGCCTTTTAATCTGACCACTTTCTCTCCCCTCTGGGATTCCTGGTTTCTTCAGTATGCATATGATATTCTTCTGCATTCAGTGGACAAGGGCTACTTAGCCCTGCTGATGTCTTTGATTGAACATGGGCACAAGGTTTCTAAGTCTTTACTCCAGTTTTGTTATCTTGGCCCTATCCTATTATGAAAATTCCTACAACCAAAAAATAAGAATGGTGAGTTTTTGTTACATGGATCTCTAACTTTTCCACCCTGTCTCCACTCTTGGTTTAAATTGACTACGATTCCCAATCTTGTTTCTTGGTTTGAGGAAGAGAATTCTTCTTTCATTACTTTGAAGCAAAGTCTGTCAACTGCACCAGCGTATACATTCCATAGTTATTCTAATCTAAATCCTTTTATGCTATTGTCATGCTTAGCAGGGCATTGCCTCAGGAGTACTAATTCAGTTTATGGGTCCTGGGCAATGGCCTGTGGCTTACTATTCTTTGAAACCTGATCTGATAGCAGCTGGATGCCCATAGTGTTTGCAGTTGGTAGCAGCTGCTGCCCTTTAGCTCAAGATATTCTTTTGAACCATTCCATGACCTTGCTAGTTCCACAAGCAATAGAAATTTTGCTGCTTTCTCAAAATATCCAATATATCTCTGCTCAGTTTTTACTTAGTATGAGAAACTTTTGCTGCTAATGTGACTCTCAAGTGCTATCAGACTTAAAATACTGCTCCCCCCTAATGGCTTTCCTCCTGATTGTGGGGCAGTAGTAAGCACTGTTTCTACTTCTGGTCTTGACCTCATTGAAGACCCATTACATCACCTTACCTGGGACCTATGGGTCATCTTTTTTAAGAGGATGATTGATGGTGCTCTGACTACTTTGTTGTCGTCATGCTTTTGTAATAGAGGCTCATGCTTTTGTCACAATGATATCTGCTAAGATTACAGAGCTTGTTGCTCTAACTTGTATTTACACGCAAGCAGCAGGTTTCTCATTGACCAGTGGCCATCTACACTTAACTCCAGTATGCTTTTGGTATTTGGTCAGATTTGGAAACAAAGGAGTTTCCCTTTCCTAGATATCCCTTTGTTAATACAGCTGTGGCTTCCCTACCGCAATTTCTGTTTCCTCTTGCTGGGATGACAAGGACATCCCATCTTTAGCATAAGGTAACAATTTGGATTATGCTGCGGCCCAAGATCTGCTATTTCTGGTTTTTTGTTTCCCCTCTCAGTCCTTCTGCTGTTGAAGTTTTGGTCTTTTCTTCCCCAGTCTGTCCTTTTTCTGGGACACAATGCCTTCTGTTTCCTGAAGAGGCTGCTTGGAAACACTGGAGGCTCCCCCTTCTAATGGCATTTAATGGGTTTCTCATGCCCCCTCCCCCGTACTTCTTTAGATTACACTGCAAATTTTGACATGTTGGTGTGTCTCAAACAAGTTGCATAGCAAGTGGTCGACAGCTGTGGGGTATGTGCAGAACTCAGCCTACACGCTCTCTTAACTGCTGTCACCAGCACTTCCCCTTGGATGCATGGTCCATTCCAGTCTTTGCAACTTCATTTCATGGATATGCCTCCTTGAAGATTATATTGCCACCTACTGATTGTAATGGGGCACCTTTTCAAAAGGGCTTGAAGCCTTTCCTACTTCTATGGCCAACATAGTAGCAGCAGTAAAGTACTTACAAAATAGATCATTCCACAATATGGCTGCTCTTCCATAATAAGATGGTGGTCTACAGTTTGCTGGCCACTTAAAAAAACCATATCCAAGGCTTTGGGAACCAAGAAGAAGCTTCACGCTCCTTATTACCCAATTTCTAATGAATTGATTAGTCCCTTGGACTGCAAGGCGATCAAACTGGTCAGTCCTAGAGGAGATCAACCCTGACTGCTCTTTAGAAGGCCAGATCCTGAAGATGAAACTCAAATACTTTGGCCACCTAATGAGAAGGAAGGACTCACTGGAGAAGAGCCTAATGCTGGGAAAGATTGAGGGCAAAAGAAGAAAGGATCGACAGAGAATGAGATGGCTAGATGGAGTCACTGAAGCAGTAGGTGTGAGCTTAAATGGACTCCAGAGGATGGTAAAGGACAGGAAAGCCTGGAGGAATGTTGTCCATGGGGTCACGATGGGTTGGACACAACTTTGCAACTAACAACAACAATGAATTGATAGAGACATCAATTGGCCAAATTCTATACTGAAATGGGATTAAATTGGGTAGAGTGCTTGCCATATGCTCTCATATTCATGTAGCCATCAAGCCAAATAATGGATCTCTTTATTTGGTAGAGTCTTGCCACTAGATGCTATGTACCTTGAAGTTTGTACCTCTCTGCTGGGAAGTCACAAACTTCAGGTTTTTTTTAAAAAAATGTATACTTGCCAAAATTTCACAGTCCAGCCTGTACCCCTCAATTAACCCAGTGCACTCCATCCAGCCATGTGTTTGGTTCTGCTTAAGAGACCCTGATGCAAGACCTTTCTGGAATCAAGGGGGTGGGGAGTGTGTATACCTTATCCTGCTTACCACCAAGACTTAATAAATGTGCAAAGGAAAGAAATCTGTTACAATTGGACCCAAGTGAAAAGAATTACCTTACTGCAGTGGTGAAATGCAAAATTTTTTTGCTACCAGTTCTGTGGGCGTGGCTTGGTGGGTGTGGCTTGGTGGTGGGGTCATGTGACTGGGTGGGCGTGGCAAACTCTTTTTTAAAAACTTTTTAAAGCATTTTTTATTACCTATTCCCCTGAACTGGTAGTAAAAAAAATGCTTTAAAAAAGTAAAAAAAAGGTTCCGACGTTCACAGCTATGCCACGTGATTGTCAGAACCTTTTTTTCTAACTTTTTAAAGCATTTTTTAACTACCGGTAAAAAGTGCTACCGGTAGTGATAAAAACTACCGGTTCAGGCGAACCGGTAGTTTTTATCACTACCGTAGCATTTCACCCCTGCCTTACTGGCAGGAAAAATGCGAAGAAACCAGCAAATCAACCTAAAAAAAAGCTGACCGCCAGGCATTCATTGATTGTAGAGACCAGAACAATCTAGGAACTCCTTCTGTTGATGCAAACCAGGCTGTTTCATATCTGCTATAATTTCATCTGCATTGTGACCAATGCATACAACCACAGATCCTGGAACCACTTTAAAATCCATGATTAGGCAACATTATAATTCTGTGTCTCTTCTTAGTAATTATTGCTATCTTTGATCTTTAAAACGTTTGCTTTCATCTGCTAACTTCTTATCATGCAAGCTATCGATTAGATTTTTTTGTAATCCTGCCTTTATTGCTTTATGAGTAACTCAATGTAGTGAAGATACCTAATACTCCTTCCTCCTCCTATTTCCCCCACAACAACCCTGTAAGGAGGGTTGGACTGAAAGAGAGTCATCCAGCTGGCAAATTGATTTTGCTCATACATTGCTGGACTACTGGGAAAGGATGGAGTCTAGAAGTCTTTTCCATCCATAATCTTAATAGATAGCCTGCCAACTGATTGCTAGGCAAACAAACCTTTCTGTTTACTAGTTCTGCAACAAATTATTAATATAACTATCATACCAGCATAAGGCAGTATCTGACAGACCATTTATAGTATAGCGGCATTTCTAGATTATTTCCAAAGAAGTAACCCAAGGTTCTTTCTCAAGTCATAAATTACATTTTTATAATAGTACCCATGGGGGATTCTCTATTCTATATCAAGATGCTCCTGTAACCTATTTAAGATGGGTCAGTGCTGTTGCTCTGTTTTTGAATGATGAAAGTATTTGGAGACATGGAGGATAAGGAATGCGGGGTTGGGGAGGGTAAGGAATGCCAGGTGACCCTAACTTTAATTAAGCCTAGGAGGTATAGGAGCCCTTAGTGCTCTTCTCTAATCACAGATTACATGAATAACGTATCTGTAGCATAAATTCAGGTAACTATACCATTGTATAGAAGAGGAGGGAACTTGTAAAAAACTTCAAATGGGCCATATATGTTATGAAAACTCAGAATTATATGGATCAGACAATTTAACATCAATAATGCTGTTCCAACCCTTAGATTCCAAATATTTTGTTCATTTAATGAATCTTTTTGTCTGCACAGCACTGGAGAAATGCTACAGTTTGTTCGTTCATTCATTCATTCAATTTCTGTAGCTGAGACTTAGCCAGATGACTCTGTGTGGCTTGCAATTCTAAAATTACAAACAATTAAAAACATTAAAATAATAACATCCATAAAATGTGGCCGCATCGACCCTCTGGAATGAATTACCCGCTGGGCTCCGGACGGCCCCCGACCTCCGCTCTTTCCGCACTGGCCTGAAGACATGGCTTTTTCAGCAAATCTCTTGATCTGCTGAGAGTTTTTAGTTTTAATTGTTGGGATTTTTATAATTGGACTGTTTTAGCATTAATTTATTGTCTTGTGTTTTATTGTTGTGAGCCGCCCTGAGTCCTTTGGGAGAAGGGCGGCATATAAATGTGAGATAAATAAATAAATAAATAAATAAATAAATAAATAAATAAGTACAAACAGCAACCATGATGATTTTTCAACTAATAGTAAAGCCAAATAATTGGATCCTTAAAACATCTTGAGCCCCAGGCCTGTGGTACATAGCCAAGTTTCTAAAGCTTTGCAAAGGGCAAACAGGGTTGGGGCTATTCTAATTTCCGAGGAGAGAATATTCCATAAAGCAGGGGCTACTGCAGAAAAATTCCATCTTCTAGTTCCTGCCAGTTGATACTCTGTGGCTGATGGGATCTGCTGCAGCATGCCCAATCTGGATGGATAGAAACTTTTTGGAAAAAGAGTTAGGTAACCCTCAGGTAACCTGATCCCAAGCCATGTAGGGCTTTAAAGATGACAACAAGCGCCTTGAATTGCACCTGGAAACACACCAGCAGTCAGTTCAGTTCATGGAGGAATGGTGATGTGCCATATAGCCAGCACCATTTATTACCCATGTAATAAATATATAATAATAGATTACATTGTAATATATTAATATAATATACATATGTAATAATATAATACATGATGTAAGCAAACATGGTGACCTCCATATGATAGCTCTCCTCCAGGTCCAGAATTGTCACAGCATAAATGGTGGAGAGCCAGGTTGTACCTGCAACCTATTCAGCCTGGAATATTTTTTGTCTGCAGACTGGGAAAGGTATATACTGTAGTGTACCATCTGGCTGGAAAGGAACATGCATTCTCAGACATATCACCTCTCCTGTTCACATAAGAAGGAATCTAACTAGCAATGAAATATTACATTTGGGAAACTGGCCTTCTCTACCTTGCAAGGGAAAGAACTTTGAGGATTTTGATGGCTCATAAAACCTTTGACTGAAGGATATACACCAAAGGTAACAGGGAATCAGCAGGGCAGAGCTTTGGAGTGGAATGGGGGTATTGCAGACTTGCAGGAGGCTTTTAGAAACTAATCCTAAAATTCTAGAAAAGGTCAATAATTAAATTTCATTGGGGATTTCAAACCCATAGAGCAGTGGTTGTCAACCTGTGGGTCGTGACCCCTTTGGGGGTCGAACAACCCTTTCACAGGGGTCGCCTAAGACCATCGGAAAACACATATTTTCAATGGTTTTAGGAATAATTTTATGGTTGGGGGTCACCACAACATGAGGAACTATATTAAAGGGTTGCGGCATTAGGAAGATTGAGAACACTGCCATAGAGCATCATGGGGCCCATGTTAACATATCATGAGAGGTAGAACTGAATGTCAAGAAGACCAAACCCTCCGATCCCAAACCCACTGTTAGGTTCTGTTATCAATTAGAAAACTGAACCCAAGGATCATTCCCATGACATTTGGATTGAGATAAATCTTGAGTAACCTGA